CACCCCACCCCACCCCTTCCCTCCTCCTGCAACAGGCTTACCAGCTGGATGCTGCTCTGCAAGCTGCCAGGATGCATATCAATAACTGGATTGGTACTGGTCGATATGGCTCATTAATAATTGGCCATCGGTACTGGTCCAAAAATTCTTTATTGGTGCACCGCTAGTTAGCAAAGCAGAAAGCCCATGCAAAGTCCTCTGTACAATTCAGTATTTCACTGTATTTTACAAACTGATTCTATTAACTGATAGAAAAAACAGCTTATATGCATAGGTGATTGCTTAAGATTTTGCTTATGGCAAGGGGCTGACTCTAAAACATGATACCTATAAATGGTGGGAAATGTACAATGTACAATGTTTTTAGCATCTGGCTTGGATTATAACATGTGGTTGATTCTATTAAGTGAAAATTCAGTATCTGGCAGTTGTATTTACAGGAGTAAGTTATCATTAAATTATGTTAAACCAAGGCTTAAATCTTAAGCCCACGCACAAATTTACACACTAAGCAATTCCATCATTGTCGATGGAATTATTCACTGTACATGAAGTTGGCACATAATTCAGTCTTTGCAGGACTGAGGCAATAATGAAAAAGTTCACTGTTTCTTCACTGAACTATGTCCACCTAGAATCAATACAAGTGTTTCTAATTTCATTCATGTTTAAAAAAAAAAAAAAAATCAATTATTTGAAGTACTTAATTTGAAAATAATGAAGTTATCACAGCTAAGCTTTTTGAAAATAATCCTAACTTTATTGTACAAAAAGTATCCATAAACAACAAGTCTCTGTTTCAAAAGGTTTATGTATAGTTTACCTTTTATCCACAACAGGCTTTTGAACTTGACCCCTGGTAACTTTGACCCATGATGACATTTTAATTCCTAGGAAAATGGAATACATTGCATTAATTTCTTTTCCTGAGTTGAGAGAGATCGTTCTTAAAACATCTCTAGCATACGTAAATTCAAAAGAATTGCTGTATTGCCAATTTTTAAAAACACTTATTTCAGAGATCAGTGATGCTGTTTGTTCATAATTCCTAAAATAAATCCCTTCACATTGTTGGACCAGCTTCACTTATTACAATTCATATTTTTTTTATCCCAAGCAAAACAATGTATTTTTTTCCCATTTCTTCTTTAAAAAAAAGTCACTGAAGCTTTGAATTGAGTGTTTAGTCCAAACTAAATATAGTTATAGTTCCTTGTTTCTTGTGCAGCTGTCTTTTAGAAATATGCGAAATATGGGGCCTCATATAATCCACAGTTGCATAGGATCTAAAAGATATCAGTCAGATTTTCTTCTAAGCAAGAATGAAGCTATAGTGGCACTATCAAATGTTGCTTTGATCACTACAAGCATCAGTTAGTCAATGAAAATTAAGATTAGTATCTATAAATCATATTCAGCTTCCCCTAAAATTTCTCCAAATTCCCAGCCCAGCCCCTGGGAAGAGCGCACACCAACTGCTGCAGCTTCCTGAGCCTGACGAAGGGTTTTTGAACCCGAAAGCTTGCTTAATAACTATTCTCCAACCATTTGGGTTGGTCTAATAAAAGATATCAAATTCACCCAAGGAACCTTGTCTCCAAATTCTAGTGCTCTCAAATACTGAGCATGTTTGCCAATCTCACCCTCCCTCAATTCCTGTCTGACTGCCAGTTTTAAAAATTATATAAAAGTTCAGACCCAAAGCATCCCAAAAGGACCCTCTGGCTGATGGGATCTGCTGTTTACAAATGGCATGCAAGTTCTTTCAGAAAAACATTCAGTGCCCACTCAGGGCTCCTCCTGACTGCAGCTCTTCCTCTGTCATTCAAGTTATCTCTTCTCATTCTTGGCTGACCAGCTCTATTCTTCAAGTTCCAGAGATCGCTCTCTTGCTCATTTTGAAGCACCCTCTCCAGGATACAGACCATGATCATCTTGTGGGAGATGGGAGGAAAAGAGAGTTATTACCAGGTCAAGGCCAGAGTCAGAGCCATAGCTGCTGCCTGCACCACCACTTGCACTCAAATCCAAGGTGAAGGGCATTTCCCCTTCCCCCATGTTAAATGTGGGGAAGAAAAACAAACAACTTTGACTTGGATTCAAGTAAATACAATATATTCCTAACCTAAAGGAAAAGGCAGATTTGATGCTTATAGCTATTTGTTCTGTCATCTGAGAGTCATCCCAGTAATTTCAGGGGAAACCGAGTATCAGCTCAGTGCAGATAAACAGGCCACCTCTTCTCTTTCTCCTTGCATATAACTATCCCACCTGCTGTACCTGACTTGTGGGTAGTATGATCCATCAATTACCATTGCAGAATATATCATAAAGTATAAGCTTATGCAAAAG